CCCCAGGGTATGTGCTGGCACCCTGCGCGCGGCTCCTTGGCCCCCTCCTGCTTCCTGCGCCCCGGCTGGCTCCACACGCAGCCCTGGGCCTGGAGGAGACTGACAAAGCACCCAGAAAAAGACCTTTTCCCTCCCTTGGTAAATCACTGGGTGGCCCAAACCAGCCAGGCACATGCTGCAAAAGGGCAGATTTTGGGGTGAAAACAGGCGCGTGAGTCCCTGCACGCATGAGCACCGGCAAAGCTCAGCCCTTCGCTGCCAGTGGCATCCCCGTGCTGCCTGCGACCTGCCTGCGCCGCAGGGACGGGGTCCCACAGCGGATTAACGACATTTGGGCGCCGGTTGAAGGGATGTGGCAGCCCCCATGCCCCAGCCCCTTCTGTGGGGGGATATCCCGGGGCCAGCTGGTACCTACTGGATTTTCTTGGTGAAGTTCTTGGAGACGATCCCTCCTTCCACCTGCTGCTCCTCGTGTTTGCCTGCAGGGAAGGACAACACCCCATGTCACCACCTCACTGGGAGATTATTTTTTCCCCAACAACCAACAAAAAAACCCAACAGGCAACTTTTCAGAGGAGCTGTTTCCCTTCCCCTGTGTAACCCCTTCCCTCTGGGGAGGGCTCGGGTAGCCAGTCCCATGTGGGGAAGGAGATGTTGGACACAGCATACCCATGGGGGTCTTGCAGACTGCCAAGAGCTGGAGCTTAAGAAAAAGCCCCAAGACATGATAAAACCTTTGGAGGTGGCAACGTCCCCCCTTGTCCCACTCCTCAGGCTGGGCTCGCCTCCAGCGCCCTGTCAGGCTGGGGGTCCCTGTGCCTGGAGCATCTCCGAAGTTAAAACCACACCGGTGGCTGCCTGGACCCCCCTGACCTGTGGTTTTCCCCCTGTGACGCCGTGAGCCCCAAATAAATACCCAGGGCCACACCACACCGCAGCCCCCAGCCCCTCCCTGGGACCCCAGCCCGGGGCATTCGGGGACAATGTGGGATGTTGGTGGTGGGCTGAAGGGATGCTCAGAGCCGGGCGCCCGTGGGCACCCCTGATGTGGTGCACCCCGCCCCCACCATTAATTGAACTTTTAGGGTTGTGCTTCTGGCTGGCTTGTCCCCAGGCTGGGGCCTCTCGGGGCTGGGTTGGGGTAGGGGCCACGGGGCGACGTCCCTCCACTTCCCAGCATCGGATCTGCCTCTCTCTCGGCCCCTTTAAAGGGAATCTCCCTCCGCACCGGCCTCACCCCGGCTATAATTAACCCAGCCAAGCTGGGGCCCCTCTTGGCAGCTTGCTGCAGGGTGCTGCTGCCTGCAGCAGTGCCTCCCTGGCTGGCTGGGGACGAAAGCGGGGGAATTTACCCCAAAGGAGGCTTGTTCCTTTCATTTTTGCAGCAAACCAGCACAGCTTGTGAGCCAGGTCCCCCCCTGTTGCACCCCCAAACTGCCCATGGGGCTGCTCCAAAGCCCTGTTGCAGCCCTGACCATGCTCCTGAGCATGGGGCTGCTGCTGCTGGCTTAAAATAAAGGGGATGTTTGCATTTTTACAGCAATTTCTTGGGCTGGCATGGGCAGGGCAGGAACAGCTGCTTTTCATGCCCCATCCTCCTCCTCCCCGGTGCCTTTGCTCTCACCTGACACTTCGACGTAGCCATCCTTGGTTTTGACCGTCAGCTCCTCGGGTTTGAAGCTGTGCACGTTGACACACACCTTCCAGGGCTCACGGGGAAAGGGCACGGGGCTGCGGCTCTCGGGGCGAAGCGGGCACCGTAGCTGGGGGCCATGGTGGAGGCGCGGGCCATGCCGGCACGCAGGGGACCTGGCCAGGTGGTGGTGAGCCGGGGCCGAGCCCAGTCGGGCCAGTCCGCCGTCAGGTCCCCGGGGAAGGGCGACATGCCGAAATCATCGTCCAGCAGGCGCGAGGTCAAGCCGGGCTCCCGGAAAGGGTCGCGGATGCTGCGCCTGCCGGGGTAATGGCAGGAGAAGGGCATCTGGCTGTCGGCCATGGCTTCCTTCAGAGGGGTCCGAGCGTGTCCCCGGGGCTCTCCCACGGAGCCTCAGCCTCTGCGCGGCCGCTCCTGGCTGCAAACTTCCCCGGGGAGCCCGTGCCGGAGGAGACGCATCCACCCCGGGCGGGATGCGGGTGTGCGGCTGCGGGTGGGAGCCGCGGGGATGGTCCTCTCCTTCCCCAGCACCAGGTGAAGGACGATGGAGAAAATCAATTCAGGGCTGAATCACCGGGAGCTGGAGGAGCGCAGGAAGGACGGAGGGAGCTCTCTGGCCGCGAGAAAATGCTTCCTGTCTGGCTGTGATCCCAGGGACTGGGGAGAGGAAAATTAAACTTCTCAGCAGAAGAGGGAAGAAAAAAAAAGTGATGAAACCAAATATCCTGAGATTAAAAATCTTATCTCTGTCCTCTTGCTCCCCAGCACTTTATGTGCGACTTTCCCCGCTGCTCCCGGGTGAGAGCTGCAATAAATGCCTGAGCTTGGAGCCGAGAAACTTCTCTAACCTTCCAGCCGCCAGGCTAGTGCTATTTATACAGATTTGGGAGGAGAAGGGGTGTGTTTTGCAATTCCTGCCCTGTCAGCCAAGTATTTTGGAGAGGATGAAACAGCCGTGGAGAATCTGGGCTGCGGCAGC